AACTAAGGGGCCAAGGCCAGCTCCTGAAAAAACAACCCACACCTTAATCCCCCCTCCACCAAACTTTACACTTGGCACAACGCAGTCAGACAAGTACCGTTCTCCTGGCAACTGCCAAACCCAGACTCGTCCATCAGATTGCCAGATGGAGAAGCGTGATTCATCACTCCAGAGAACGCGCCTCCACTGCTCTAGAGTCCAGTGGCGGCGTGCTTTACACCACTGCATCCGATGCTTTGCATTGCACTTGATGTATGGCTTGGATGCAGCTGCTCGACCATGGAAACCCATTCCATGAAGCTCTCTGTGCACTGTTCTTGAGCTAATCTGAAGGCCACGTGAAGTTTGGAGCTCTGTAGTGATTGACTCAGCAGAAAGTTGGCGACCTCTTCGCACTATGCGCTTCAGCTGACCCCGCTACATCAGTTTACGTGTCCTATCGTTTCGTGGCTGAGTTGCTGTCATTCCCAAACACTTCCATTTTCTTATAATACAGCTGACAGTTGACTGTGGAATATTTAGGAGCGAGGAAATTTCATGACTGGATTTGTTGCATAGGTGGCATCCTATCAGTTCCATGCTGGAATTCACTGAGCTCCCGAGAGAGACCCATTCTTTCACAAATATTTGTGAAAACAGTCTGCATGCCTAGGTGCTTCATTTTATACACCTGTGGCCATGGAAGTGATTGAAACACCTGATTCCAATAATTTGTATGGGTGAGCAAATACTTTTGGCAGTATAGTGTATGTTACCATGGAAAAGAATCCTCTGAAACTAGCCTGGTCTCAACCAGGCTAAAAGTGAAGCTTAATTAATCAGTTATTGTTTCAGAGCAGTCGGCGGTCACTCCGGTTAGAAATCAGTGTTTCATACAATCAATCAATAATCTTATGTACATATCTGCCTCATTCTTATTACTTTGCATTAAAATATGGCAGGTTAAATAACTACTATAATTTTTGCATAACTGTTTAAAATTAAACCCAGTCCTAATAATACAACTGGAAATATTCCTATAATTGTTTGTGTGATACTCATTTATGATATATCACATATAGCTCTGCTGTTTATTGGTGTAGAGGTTGATTGAGTAGCCCCTTCATCACTTCAGCTGTAGAGATAATTGGAAATTGGTGTGGAAGTATCACTTCGTCGGGTCCGACGTGTGAGCCAACTCCTTCTGAGTCACGTGTCGTCTGTGCTGTGCATCATCAGCTGCAGGTTGCCAGTCTGCAGAGTGTTCTTCTATTTAACATTCACCTGTTGCCAGGTGCGTTTTGGGCCGCCAGACATGTATGTGCTGCATGAGCATTAAATGAGAAAAATTGTTCACTGTTGAAAATGATGAGATTAAAATGAAAGTGTCTTCTTTGCAATATTTGAGGTCTGAAAGTCCTGCATCTTGTTTGCTTCTTCTTACATTATTTTCTGTCAAAAAGGGAAATGTTTTGTTGTCGTCTCATACTTTTTGTCTCAGGGAGACTCATAATTGCTCAAAATAAATTTAATTAGTGCAACGAATAACCACAGTTCATTTCATGAACTTCCTCTGCTCATTTTTAAGGTGAAGTGTACAAATGTTAATTTGGAGATTACTTGGAAACAGATTCAGCTTTTGAAATTACTTACACATTCAGTCGATCCGCTATAATTTGCGGCCCTCTTTCTCTCTGCTTAATAACAACAGTGATATTTCCCTTTTTAGTGATATGTTTCATCACTTCAAATGGATCCATCTGTTGCGTCTCTGAAGAGAAGTGGGTCGTCTTCTGTGATCCACTGAGTGGGTCTTATAGGAAAACTGTGAACCTGCATTCATCCGAGCCGGTTTACACCTGGCTTGAATTAGCAGCCCTGTTTAAGCTTGATGTTTGCACAACCGTTTGTTTGTGATTTCAAGGATTGTTTAAATGTGGATTCCTGTCAGTATCCTGGATGCATCAATCCTACTTTTGTGCAGCGGGTCTCTGGTCCAGCACTGAAACCAGCCCTTCAATGCTAAGTTGGAGCCAGACTTTACTCACAGTTTTTCTTTTTCAATTGCTGAAAGTGCAGCTTTAGTGACAGATCTCATGCTTTGTTAGCACAAAATCTTTTTGTCAGTGGTTGAGCCTATTGATACTTTTATTTATTATTTAGAAAATAAAATGTACAATTTGTTCCATGTTGACACTGAGACCGAACCTTCACCCTCCCTCCAATTTTGGTTGGTTGACCTGAACATGCTGCACAGAGCAGATTTAGCTCCTAAAGCAAAATAGAAAGTAAAGGAGGTGGTTGTGAATGGTAGTGAAATGCATTAAATTTTGATTATTTTATAAAAAAAAAAAAAAAATCATTGGATATAAAAAGTGATTGCAAAAACATAATAGATTGAGCCTACAATTGCTGGAGAAATGATATTTGATTTTTATTTTCAATTGTAGTTTCATACAAATGCTTTTTTGGTGTCTTGTATTGTTCCATCATCGTTCATTTAATTCTTTCTCCGTTCACAGACAGGCAGATACGTCAACATTTCCAAGACATCCATGCATGTCACATTATTTGTGTGGGTTTAATGGATTTAAAAACCTTCTTAACCTGCTTGTCATGTGATGCAAGTAGAGAACAGCTGATTATGCAAGCACTTCTTTACACATGTACTTAAGATGAATCCTTAAGGTTTTGCTGCCTCGACTTCTCTCCCATGTCTTTATAAAGTCAGAAACGTTGGTGGTCTTTTCATCTGGTCACTTGTTAACCTTTGAAGCTTATATGTAGTGAGATAATCCACTTGTCACTTAGGATTATGAAGGTTATAGAGTAGTAGTAGTTGTTGGTGATAATCTTTCAAAAGGTTTACCCAGGCAGCTATAAATACTCCCTATCGCATACTGTGCTTTGTGAAACAGTTTTAAAATGGTTTAATAGTATTCTGTGCAACAGAGGGCCGCAGTAGCTTGATGGCTAGTGCCACGATCTCATATTCTAGAGGCTGTAGGTTTGAGCCTAGGTTGTACCCAGAAGTGCATTCATTGTAAAACAATTACCAAATATTTTGTGCAAGTTTGCTCACTGTGGCAAACCCTGCAGAAAAATGTATCTGAAAAAGACAAAAGACATAAAAAGATGTGCAACAGAAAGTTCTAATTTTGCTGTCAAGAAGTTACACTGCAAAAGTATCCTTTCTGTTCTGCTGCCTTCTAACCTGGAATGTAACAGCATTTTATTTTTTCATTATAAGGAATAAATAATAACGAAAAAAGTGGTGCACGCAGATGTCTCCACAACCTTTGCTTTGAATTCCAAACATTGCAATATACAGGTGCTGGTCATAAAGTTAGAATATCATGAAAAAGTTGATTTATTTCAGTAATTCCATTCAAAAAGTGAAACTTGTATATTATATTAATTCATTACACACAGACTGATATATTTCAAATGTTTATTTCTTTTAATGTTGATTATAACTGACAACTAATGAAACCCCCAAATTCAGTATCTCAGAAAATTTGAATATTGCGAAAAGGTTCAATATTGAAGAGACTTGGTGCCACAATCTAATCAGCTGATTAACTCAAAACACTTGCAAAGGTCTTTAAATGGTCTCTCAAGTCTAGTTCTATAGGCTACACAATCATGGTGAAAACTGCTGACTTGACAGTTGTCCAAAAAAAGACAAAAAGACCATTGACACCTTGTACAAGGAGGGCAAGAGGCTGGCTGTTCACAGAGCTCAGTGTCCAAGTGCATTATTAGAGAGGCGAAGGGAATGAAAAGATGTGGTAGAGAAAAGTGTACAAGCGATAGGGATAATCGCACCCTGGAGAGTATTGTGAAACAAAACCCATTTCAAAATGATAGGGAGATTCACAAAGAGTGGACTGCAGCTGGTCAGTGCGTCAAGAACCACCACGCAGACATATGCAAGACAAGGGATTCAGCTGTTACATTCCTTGTGTCAAGCCACTCTTGAACAAGCGACAGCGTCAGAAGCGTCTCGCCTGGGACTGCTGCTGAGTGGTCCAAAGTTATGTTCTCTGATAAAAGTCAATTTTGCATTTCCCTTGGAACCCAAGGTTCCAGAGTCTGGAGGAAGAGAGGAGAGGCACAAAATCCATGTTGCTTGAGGTCCAGTGTCAAGTTTCCACAGTCGGTGATGGTTTGGGGTGCCATGTCATCTGCTAGTGTTGGTCCACTGTGTTTTCTGAGGTCCAAGGTCAATGCAGCCATCTTCCATGAAGTTTTAGAGACTTCATGCTTCCTGCTGCTGACCAGCTTTATGGAGATGCAGATTTCACTTTACAACTGGACTTGGCACCTGCACACAGAGCCAGAGCTACCAGTACCTGATTTAAGGACCTTGGTATCCCTGTTCTTAATTGGCCGGCAAACTCGCCTGACCTTAACCCCATAGAAAAGCTATGTATGTATTGTGAAGAGGAAGATGTGATGCACCAGAACCAACAATTCAGAAGAGCTGAAGGCCACGATCAGAGCAACCTGGACTCTCAGAACACCTGAGCAGAGCCACAGACTGATGGACTCCATGCCACGCTGCATTGCTGCAGTAATCCAGACAAAAGGAGCAACAACTAAGTATTGATGCTGAACATGCTCATACTTTTCATGTTCATACTTTTCAGTTGGCCAACATTTCTAAAAATCCTTTTTTTTAATTGGTCTTAAGTAACGTTCTAATTTTCTGAGATACTGAATTTGGGCTTTTCATTAGTTGTCATTTATAATCAACAACATTAAAGGAAATAAACATTTGAAATATATCAGTCTGTGTGTAATGAATGAATATAATATACAAGTTTCACTTTTTGAATGGAATTACTGAAATAAATCCATTTTTTCATTATATTCTAATTTTATAACCAGCACCTGTAAATGCCAAATCTGCTAAATTTATATACACCTGCTTTGATAGCTACAAGTATCAACACATCTAAGTAGTAAAGGCTTCTACCAACCAAGAGGCATCTTGTAGACCAAGAACTCTCCACACACATCAGAGGCAAAGTTGGGAAGAAGTACAGACAATGGTTTGGTTATAGAAATATCTTTAAACCATGAACATCCCACAATTCTTCATTAAATCTATTGTAGAAAAGTTAAGCCATTACAGCCGATTCACCAAAAGAGTGTTGCCCATCAAAACTCATGGACAATAAAGGCAATAATCAGGAAAAGAAAATATCCAGGAGGACAGAAATACCAGAAGGAGATGGACAACTCTTCTGCAGAGATGGAAGTATCTGTCTACAGGACCACTATAAGCTGCACAGAGCAGGGCTTCCTCGAAGAGTCATCAAGAAAAAGTAATTCCTTAAAGAAAAACAAACAAGGCAGACTGTATTTTCAAACAGCAAACCTGTGAAAGGAGGTGCTGTGGTCAGATGAGATTAAATTTGTTTATTTTGCCATCAAGGACCCCAGCTCTTAAGCAAATGTAACACTTCTCTTCACGCTGAGAACACTATTCCCACACTGAAGCATGGTGGTGGCAGCATCATGCAGTGGAAATACTTTTTTTTATTAGCAAGTACAAGGGATACTGGTCAGAATTAAAGGAAAATGGTTGGATAAAAATAAAGATAAGTTCTTGAGGAAAACCTGTTTGAGTCTTCTAGAGATTAGAGAGTAGGATTGAAGTTCACGTCCCAGCAGGACAATGACCCTAAACACCTTGCTGAAACAACACTCCAATAGTTCGAGGAGGACCCTTCAAATGTCCTGGGATGATCCAGTGAACATCCAGACCTCAGTCCAGATTGCTGCACCCATCCAACTTGAAGAAGCTGGAGAAGTTTGGTCATGAAGAATGAACAAAAATTAAAATTCCAATCAAATTCTAAGTTGTTAGGCAACAAAATAGAATTAACACCAAGGAGATGAATACAGACACAATAGATCATATAATTTTACAGTTACTGTTTTTCCATTTACATTTTTCTTATCTCAGGTGTGTACGTGTGTGTTTCTGTTAGAGGTCCTGTTACTTGACCATCCTGCTCTTTGTGCTGCCCTCAGGTGGACACTGCCAGTGAAGTGGAGGAGTTGGACATCGACATGGCTCCGGCCTCTTGTTCAGCCAGCAGGGCGGCACCGAAGCTCCAAGTTTTTATTGCAAGATACAGGTAAAAGTAAAACTGATATCAGAGTTGACTTGTGATTGCAACAGTTTGTTAATCTGTCATAAAAAAATAAAATAATAATGATTAGATGTCACATTTCATTGAATCAGTTACAATCCGTACGATGGCCCAAACGACAACCCCGAGGTGGAGCTGCCCCTCACTGCCGGGGAGTACATCTATGTGTATGGAGACATGGATGATGATGGTTTCTATGAAGGTAACTCTGGTTTTATTGTCTATGCCTGCAGATTGTTGTTCATATTTATATGATGTTTAGTATTTCTTGTGGTTCCTTTCAGGTGAGCTGATGGATGGGCGAAGAGGGCTGGTTCCCTCGAACTTTGTTGAACGCATGTCCGACGATGATCTGATGAGCTCTCATCATCCAGAGACAGGGGATGTGTCCCACAACTCTCTGCTAGACAGCAGCCTGCACAGTGCCAGCCACCAGCATCACCTCCACATGGGCGTCATTGCCTCAGAACGGACAGGGGCTTCAGCTGCCTCCGGCCCCTCCTCAGCCCTCTCAGATTCAGCATCAGCCTTGCCTGTCCTGGTCCCCCTCACCAACGGCCTGGACTTGGATTTGGAGGAGGTGGGAGTGGACATTGTGCCTTACCCACGTAAACTTACCCTCATCAAGCAGCTTGCCAAGAGCATTATCATTGGCTGGGACCCCCCGTTGGTGCCGGCTGGGTGGGGCAACGTGTGGAGTTATAACGTATATGTGGACCAGGAGCTGCGACTCAGTGTGCCCTTCGGTGCCCAGACCAAAGCGGTGCTGGAGCGGCTGGACATAAACCTCAAAGCCTACCGTGTGTCAGTCCAGAGTACGACAGAGAAAGGCCTCTCCGACCAGCTCCGTTGCAGCCTGCTGGTGGGCCGGGATGTAAGTGTGGCGCCCACGCAGCTGTGCGTGAACAGAATTATGGCCACCTCTGCCAACCTCACGTGGCTGCCCAGCAACAGCAACTATGTGCACATTGTGTCTTTGAA